TTGAGAAACCTGAATTAAAGTGCTGGAGAAAGCACAACACACATTTATTGCTCATCTTGGAAAGACAACAGCGATGCGCTTCCAAAACTATCTTTGAGTAACATAATCTGGGGGTATTGAATATGGATATTGTCAATAGTCACTTAGAAGCATGTTTTCTCTTGTACATTTTGTTCCCTCCAGTAGATTTCCAACCAAGACAGGAAATGCCCCAAGCCCCTACTTTCAACAGTGTAAAGCAAGCACTGAGGAGAATTACGTAGAGGGAACAGAGCCAGGAAGGAATCCTCACCACCCTCCACTTTTGTTGTACTCGACTCTATGTTTTTTCACCACGGTTTCTAATTGTCCCCTAAATAGAAGTCAACACCTCTCTAACAAGCCCAGTTCATTGCTCAGTGTCCCTGTGACAGTTTCTGATGAAGGCTGATCAGGACAAGTATCCCAGGGGCTGTCTCCAGAGAGCACAGCATCCGTGGTCACCGCCAACAGGAGACAGCTGTTGAGAGGCCCAGCTGCCTGCCCAGAAGAGAAACAGGATGGATCTGTCAGACATGTGGCCCTAAGCGGAAAATGGCAGCAGGTTAGGCAGGGTTCTCCAGAGAAATACAATCAATAGGCTACATGTGCGTACAGATATGTATGAGGTGGTTTATTATAGGCATTGGCTCACATGTTACAGAGGACGAACAACCCTACAATTAACTGCCTGCCAGCTGGAGAACCAGCAAAGTCGGTGTTGTATTGTAATTCAGCCTGAGTCTGAAGACCTGTGAATCAGGAGGGACCATTGGTGTAAGTTCCTGTCTGACTTTAAAAGGAACCAGGAACACCAATGTCCATGGACAGGAGAAGACAGATGTCTCAGCTCAAGCTGAATCCATGGATTCACCCTTCCTCTGTCTTTTTCTTCTCAACAGATCGGACGATGCCCACCCATTCTGATGAGGGCCATCTTCTTAGCCTACCAATTCAAACACTAATCTCTTCCAGAAATACCCTGACACACACACCCAAAAATAATATTTTACCAGCTATCTGGCAATCCTAATTCCAGTCAGGCTGACACATAAAATCCCTCAGCACAGGCATTACCTGGGTCAGTGATGCCGAGTGGTATAGGGCAGTGGGCCTCAACCATGCCTTGCTAGAACCACCTGGGGAGCTCTGAAAATCCCTATATCTAAGCCACACCTCAGTTCAATTAAATTGGGGTTTCTGGCGTGGGGGCCAGGCACCAGTGTTTCTGAAAGATCCCCGGGTAGTTCCACTGTGCAGCCAGGACAGAGACCCCCTACTGCCTCCCTCAGCAGCAGGTGCACATCCCACTCAACTTTTCAGCCGTCCTGGGACCAACTTACCGTTAGGCATGATTCCTCAGTTCAGGGGCCCCCGACCCCAACCCCCGGGGGCCACAGACCAGTATCGGTCCATGGACAGTTAGGAACCAGGCCACACAGCAGGAGACTAGTTAGCAAACACTTCGTGGGCATTACGGCCTGAGCTCTGCCTCCTGTTCTCCCTCCCCCAGCCCCCCAACCTCCATCCGTGGAAAATTTGTCTTACGCAAACCCGGTCCCTGGTGCCAAAAAATTTGGGGGCCGCTGCGTAGGCTCAGTTAACTTTGCACAGCAGCTACAATGAGCTTTTAAGAATATAAATCATATCGTGTCACTCTCCGGAATAAAACCCTCCAGTGGCTTCACGCGGTATGTAGCGCAACCTCAAGCCCCTCGCCTTGGCTTGGGAGCCCCCCAGCAGCCTGACCCTGCGCACGCCAAGCAGGAGAGCCAGGAGTAAGGCCGTGAGCTCTGTGAGCAGAGGCTGCAGAGCGACGTGCTGGCTCTGCTGGCTCTGCCTTCATGGGCCCCCGTGACTTCAAGTGACTGGACCTCTCCGGCTTCGCTGCCTCATCTGTAAAGGTGGTGTTGTTGAGTCAACTCACGTAAATCTCTCACTCAGCACTCAGATCCTCCTCCTCTTCCTCGCCCTGCCCTAGTCTCACTCAGTTCCCAGAACAGGCCCTCCTGTCCTCTACTGTGCGCCCCCTGCAGGAAGAGTGACACCTGGAACGACTGGCTCCTTTTCCATCACTCAGGAGCCAGTGCCATGACCATAGAGGCCCCCTCGCCCCTTCATCACCCTGTTTGATTTCCTTGGTAGCCTGTATTCATTTGCTAAGGCTGCTGTAAGAAATATAATACACTGGGCAGATTAAGCAACAGAAACTGATTATCTCACAGTTTTGGAGGCTGGAAGTCCGAGACCAAGGTGTTGGCAGGGTCAGTTCCTTCTGAGGCCGTGAGGAAGGATCTGTCCCGCGGCTCTCTCCTAACCTCTGGTGGTTTTCCAGAAATCCTTGGATGATTCATGGCTTATAGATGTATCACCCTGATCTTTGCCTTCATCTCCACCTTGTTCTCTGTGTATGAAGCTCTATGTCCAAATTTCTTTTTAGAAGGACACTGGTCATATTGGATTAGGTGCCCACCCTATTCCAGTATGACCTCATCTTAACTAATTACATCTGCAATTACTCTATTTCCAAATAAGGTCACATTCTAAGGTACTGGGCATTAAAGCTTCAACATATGAATTTGAGGGGGGTCACAATTCAACCCATAACATAGCCCTTATCCCTCTCTGAAACCATCTGGTTCTGTTTGTCTACCTGTGTATTATATGCCTTGTCTCTCCTCATTGAATATCATCGTTTATATTGTTTGATTCTCCTGCAAAAGTCATGCTATGCTCTTGTAATAGGAAAAAAAAAACTTCTCAGAAAAACAAACAAACAAAGCCCCTCCTTTGTGTTGTGACTTAGCTCACCTCCCATTCTAGATGGGAGGCTCCATGAGAGCAGGTACCACTTCTCTGCACCCCTGAACCTAACACTATGTCTCGTGCATAATGGATGTTCAGTATGGCTGGCAGAGTTGGAATTAAGCAAATAATAATACATTAGATTCCCCAAAAGAGCTCTAGAACTCAAGCAAAGCAGGTGTTTTTGTAGCTTTCCTGGTATGCATGTGACATATTTTCTCACAAATGTAAAAGTCTTTAAAAAAAAATGCTGCTGACACTCTAAGCTTTTAAATGACTCTGGCATATACAGTGGCTATCAAACTGGATTGACATTTCAAGGTGGTGTTAAGATTTACAACACAGCAAAAAGCAACCAGGCACCAGTGTTTCTGAAAGATCCCTGGGTAGTTCCACTGTGCAGCCAGGATGGAGACCTCCTACTGCCTCCCTCAGCAGCAGGTGCACATCCCACGCATCTGGGCCATCTGGGCCCACTCATCTAGGGCCATCACCCAAGTCTGTGAACCAAACTGCCGCATTTCACATGATTCTCCTAATTAGGCGGTGTTTGCAAAAGCTTCAGAAGCAGACAAGTGTTACATTAAGTTCTAAGTGGCATTCATTAATATGGGTAGATTAGGTGGGCTGGTATTTATTATAAATATAAATGTCCTAGGCTTATCAGCACAGTACAATATTCAGCTGTACTTTACATTTTCCTTTATAGAAGTTTATAACACTGCTGACTGACTGCCAAAGAAAGTAGCTTCATAGAATTTTCTACTTTGACAAAACTTTTGAAATCATCTAACACAATAGTTCTCAATTCTATCAAACCCAACATCTCTTTAGTAATAAGCATTTGTCACACCCCTCTTTAATGTCCTGAAGCAAAACTCATAGAGAACCTGCCTGTGGATAACATTTCAGTACGTAAACACTCAGGCACATCCAACTGAAGCTGTCAGATGCATGCAGTATATGAAGAAATACTGCAAATGGGACAGCTCCAAATGGCAAGCTGTCACACGTGTGCGGTGGGGGAGATACGGTGCCACGTTGCATTGCCATGGGGCCGTGGTTTTCTGAAATGGTGAAGAACCCCTCCAAAGAAGGTGCAACCTTCCTTCAATTTATTCTATACTTGCATCCCTGAAAAACTCAATGAACTTGTGTATTAATACCGCCTCCTCCAAATCCCATGTGTTTATATGTAAAACAGAGTTAGGTTTTAGGTTCAGATCATCTAACCATAATTTTTATCTACAAGAATGCCTGATGAGATATTCTTGCATGTTTATCATCTCTGGAGGCCACCCACCGAATGCCAGGAGCACTCTCCCATCTCTAATCTTTGAGAGCAAGAAAACGTTCAAAACATTTTTCACTAGGTCAAGTGAAAACTTCAATTATGCTATTCATTCATAACAGTGAACCTATTGGTTACTTTATACATTGTATGAATAAGTATGGATAAATTAGAGCTATGTGCATCATTCATTATGTTAAGAAATTTTTCAATAATTATGACACATTTTACTAATCTTGGTTTGTATTTATTTGTATTTACCTGGTTATTAGACTAATATATGCTCATTAAAAATATATTTGGGTGTGTACAATAACAAAAAAATTTTTATTTTATTTGAGAACAAGATCCAAAGCAACCTCATTGGATGGCACTGACCCTGTTGAGAGCCCTAGAGCTAATTTTACATCCTTATGTTAAAAATGACGATATTGTGTCCCTAAAAGACATGCCCAAGAAACACAGACCAAGTCTTGGCAAAGCCAGGTAAAAAGTTCTTAGAGTTCAGACAGATGAGCACATTCCATATGCCAAGCATTGTCTTAAGCTTGTTTCAGACATACCCTAATTTAATCTTCACATAACCACCAAGCTGACTTTATTATCCCCATTATACAGTTAAAACCGGAGTACAGAGAAATGAAGTGACTTAGGCAAGGTCCCAAAGAAGCAAGAGGCAGTGCGCTGACTCAGACTAGACTCTTCAGAACAACTATACAACACAGTGCAAACTACAGACTATCATGTAGGAGTGCAGGGGACACAAAGTGGGAAATGTAATGCTCCTGTGTATGAATAAACACTATAGGCCGGTTTCCCAGCGTGCCTCTGAGTCACGGTTTGTGCCCCACTTAGTCTCTTCTCCTTTCTTGTGTTTTTCCTGCAGATATTCATGCCCAGGAGAAGGCTGTTCCAGGTCTCTCTGGATCTTCCCTAAAAGGGAGACCACTGTGCACTAGATGAGCTCCAGAAGCACCCACTAAGGCTTCCATTGCCCTCTTCCATTGGTTGACCTTCACCAGAACCCCTACAGGTCAGGATGAGTGGCTTCCTGGCTTCCCTGGACCCCCGGCGGGTGCAATGGGGGGCTACCTGGTATGCCATGCACTCCAGGATCCTGCGCACCAAACCAGTGGAGTCCATGCTGGAGGGCACAGGGGCCACCTCAGCACATGGCACCAAGCTAGCCCAGGTGCTCACCACAGTGGACCTCATCTCACTCGGCGTTGGCAGTTGCGTGGGCACTGGGATGTACGTGGTATCTGGCCTGGTGGCCAAGGAAATGGCAGGACCTGGTGTCATTGTGTCCTTCATCATTGCAGCTGTTGCATCCATATTATCAGGTAAGGGTCTCCATGCATCAGAAAGCCTGTGGAAAGCATGCTTGCTGGCCTATTACTGTTCATCCCACAATTCTAGAGTATTTAATGGTGAGATGTATGAAGTGACATAGAAGTGGTCATCATGCTTCCCTTGTGCCTGGGCTACCAGGGTGCTTAGGAACAAGGTTTGGCTCAACCATAGTAGCTACCCTTTTCATTGGTTTTTTGATACAAATAATTGTTCTGGTGCCCAACCATCTCCCAGCTTCTTATTCCCTGTCATGTCCTAATGGCTCCATTTTTATAACTTTCCCTTCCATTGAAAGACAGGTAAATTCTTTTAAAGGGGAGGGCAGTGAATATAGCTAGAATATAAATAATAAGTAAAGGATAAGGAGAGTAGCAAAATAAGTCAGTAAATCCGATATGATTGAGATTTGATCAGCCTCAAACTGGTACTGTGACCCTGCAGCACAAGGGAACCAAACTAAAAACATAAAGCCATTATGAGACCCACAAAGCACCATCTGCCACACAAACCAATATTCTACAGAGGTAGCTCAGGTAGTGCCTTCTCTTTCCCAGGGAAAGAATCATAAAACTCATTATCTGCTTTTTAATGAGGTACAAGCACTTAGCACTTATCATCTGTGAAATGGCTTTCCCATTTCTTTTCCCTCCTCTCCTCTTGAGTTGTGATCCATAGAGTATCTTCCCAAAAGGCCAGAGGTAGGTCAAGGGACAACTTGAACAGGAAGGAAAAGGAAAATATTCTGTTTCTTGATGATTATGATGCAAAAGCATGAGGTAGATCATGTGGTTCAACCCACAAAGGAGTGAATGTCATGGTCTTTTCAAATGTTTCATGGGACATAGGAATGCTACTTACTTGGGAGGTCTGTGTGCTAATACATACCATCACAAGAAAAGTCTGCATTAATATTGTCTATCCAGATGAAATGGTCTTTGCACGTGGGATACACGGACTAGAAACATGCAACCAGAAAGTGCACCGGTTTATATTGGACACCCTTTTAATTGATGGGGGAAATATTTTCAGACTGATTTTACCTATCTTCAGTCATGGCTTACTTCCCTGTTAGTTTTACCACTATCTCCTTTTCTAAAGTCATTCTCTAATATGCATGAATATTTTAATAATTGAGGTTCCTGCAGAACAAAGGATATTTTCCTTATAGATGAAAATAAATTATTCACTTAGATGAATTTCATGGATGATTAAAATTCTATCAGCTTGATTGCAATCATTTTCAAACATATTTGGCAAAGAAATTATTTGGGAGAAGGTACCAGATTTTACCATAAATTTATAGTTCTAAAAATATTATCATATAGAACAGACTAGCAATGGCAGGACAAAAGGCAGACATATAGTCAGGGGGGCCATAGAGAGGACAGACAGCAGACAGCTAAGAGTTCTGCTCAGTTAATACAGGCTGCAGTCTCCTCTAGATCCATCCGACTGTGGTCCAGTTCCCCAAATCACGACCGTTCCCATGAATGAATCACCCACATCTTATTCTTCTTGATGCTACATTACATTTAGAAATGAGAACAAGGCCAAGTTGCATTCTGGGAGCCTGCCACCACCCCGGTCACAGTGCTCATGGGTGCTATATAACCCAGACATTTCTGCTACTCAAGTGGGTCTGAGATTGGACCAGCCAGTGTTGTACTATACCACACCAAGAGCCCTGATTGTGCACACTTCTTCCAACATTGCGTTTAGTGAGGTCATGTGGTTAACTTGAAATCAGTTATGGTGGGAGTGTTTATACCACAGAAACTGGCTAACACTACAAACCAGAGTATGCTTCTTTTTGGATAGTTGAGTTTTAACTGCACCGAAGGCCCTGGTACTACTGCCCAGTAACTGGTGCACAGAAAGAAAAACCTGCTTCTCCCCTAATCAAGGACCCCCCTTCTCCACATATGACCACATTCACAACACTTCTCCACACTTTGTAACTGATTCATTTTCCTGCTGAGGCCAACCAGAGTCCTCCTAGAGCCCCAGTCAGGGCCAGGACCAAAATAACTTGTGCCAAAGTTAACATATTTATAGCAGGTTTCTTCAACCAGGCCTCTGGCTCTATTACCCTTTGTCACTAAACTAAGGAAAATGCCCCTCCGCTGTCTTCTTTCCACTCCCATATCATAATCCCCATATTGCCTCTCCCTTGACAGCTTCTCCATATCACAGTAATCAAATTCTCCTCTATTCTTAGACTTTTTAATATGTGGTCCTTTTCTCCTTCTGGCCGGAAATTAAAGCTGGCTCAACCCTGAGGACACCATGGCCCTGCCCCCCAGTCTGGGGAGGATGCCATTCCCACACTCGTCACCCACTCACAGGGTCAGGAGGATCTGCCTCCCCACAGCCCCTCCCAGATCCCTGCTCTTCCTCCACTGCATCAAAGCTCCAGTGCTGCCTCACTGCATGGTCTTCAGAAAGTTACTGAACCTCTCAAAGTTCTGTTTTGTTTTTCTCATCTGCAAAATGGGGATAAAAATAGAGTTTACCTGGTGGTGTTGTATGAAGATTAAATGGGAAAATATATGCAAAACTCTTGGCAAAATGCCTGTCAGTGACAAACATCCATGAAAATTCATCTTCCTGAGGCTTAGGTCCCCTGGCCCACAATGTTTACCTGTTCTGATCTCCTCACCTCCCAGTCACTCCTTTTCACAGTCTTCCTCTCCAGCCCAGCTTCTGCCATAATCCCAGGCTACTTGAATATCCAAGTGGATAAACCCATCCAATCATAGCCTAGCCATAACTGAACAATGTTATGCCCATGGCCCTCACCTCTACTGGTGCCACATCAGCCACCGCTCTGGTGGATCCACCCCGGTGTTGTCATCACCTAGAATGCTTTTGCCTCAAGAACCTTAAACTAAAACCCCATTCTCTAACCATAGCTCATTGCCTCACTGGACTTGCTCTTAAACCCCCTTGACTCCCTGTCTGTCATCCAGCCTCTGAAACAACCCAGTAAAATCTATCCCAGAATCTGCTTTTCCAAGTCTGTACCTGGATGAACAAGAGCTCTTGAGGAAGGTCACTAAGCCCCACAAAGGTGCACAGAACAAAGTTAAGGTCTCCAGCCTCCCTTCACTGGGTCCACAAGATCTTTCACTTGCCCTTTGTCAAATCTTCTCAATGACTTTTTGACACTTTCACTATTCTCCATAAGCCCTGCTCAATATATATCTCTTCACTTAGAGCAGACAGCCTTGATTCCTTGAAGACACCTTCCATGAGCTTCTTAAATATTCTACCATCAAATATGTCCCTATACCATCACCCCCATGTGCCACCTTTCTTCCAGTTTCAGAGGATAAAATGTCCTCACTTTCAAGCCAATCAATTCTTTGAGCCCTTAGCCCTATCCTCTTATACTCTCAATAATCTCCCTCTCCAACTGTGTCTTCAGCCTCTCCTCAACTGGCTTCTTCCCCTAGCCAAATTTCTCTCATCCTAAAATATAATTCTTCCTAGCCCCACATTCTCCTCTAGCAACTTCTAATTTTTCTCCTCTACTTCCCATTCAAACTCATCAAGAATGCCTATTGGTGGCTCTCGACCTCTAATTCATTCCTCAACCCACTGCCTCTGCCATCTACCCCCATTACTAATGAAACCAGCCTGAATGAGATCACCAGTGGAACCCCCTTTGCCAAGTCTTATAGATATTTTTCTGCACTTATCTTATTGAAGTCTCTGTTGTATTTGACAAAGTCATGCCATCTATCTTGATACATTTTATATCCTCTTGACTTTGAGTGAGACTATAAAGTTTATACCGCTCTAAACATTTCTTCTCTTTCTCCTTCATAACTTCCCTTTCTCTACTTGTTCCCTGAATGTTGGCGTTTCCCACTCTACACTCCCTCCAAGGTGATTATGTCCCCTCTCATGTTTCAGCTGTCATCAGGACCCCGGTGCTTATATCAATTCAATTCTCAGTCATATACATATCCTCCAAGCTTCACACTGCATACTAAACATTTCCATCTGGATGTTCCAGACATACCTCAATTCAACATATTCCAAACATATCTAGTTCTATCTCTCTCCCCCACCCTCTTTCCCTCCCTCATTCCTCTCTCGTTCCCATTCCAGGCAGGAACCTAGGTACGTTTTTGCCTCAACCCTTCACGTTCAATTACAAGTCCCACCAGTTTTGTCTCTGGCATAGTTCTCAAACCACTGCTCTGTCTCCAATTTCACTGTCTCTGTCCTGAAGTCTCTATTAATTAGGACCCTTTCCATTTAAAGCCACAATAACCCAACACAACCAGTCAAGAGAATGTATTGGCTCAATGGCTGGATCCAGGTCTTCATCTTTACAGGTCACGAACCAAAGGAAAAGACACCCTCACCCAGTACTCACATATCAAATATTGGGAAAAGGCTCTAACTGGCTTTTCTTAGGTCATATGTTCATATTTATATTGCTAGGGTAGGCCCTTAACACAGCTTACACCTTTGTTGCTAGATGCTATACCAAAGTGGGTAAAATCAGTTGCCCATTTAAGATCATATATTTAAGGTGAGTCCAGTCTCCATTGTCTGCACTTATCTCCAGATAAATGGCTGCTTGGTTGCAAGGCTGGAGTAAATGAAAAGTTGGGATTAACTAGGTTTAGCTATTTCTAGGCAGAGAGAAAAAAGCAGTGGGATTAGAAGCGTTTTCCAAGGTCAAGGAGATAGTACGAGACCACATGATGTAGGTTGGCAGTGAGAACACGAAGGTAGAGGTGATTCCTGAGAAGTGTTGAGATCAGTGGATACTGGTGCTCTCAGTGAGTTCAGAAAATCATGGAAAAGAGCATTTCGAGAAAGTGTGCTAGAGCATAGAAGTGAGGTTGGAGAGTGGGATGTTTGAAATTAAGTTTTCATAAGTGGTACAGTAATTAGTAATGTTAATTTTAGACTTGGAACCTGGCTCAGCCACTGACTACCTGTGTGGAAACTGGAGTGAGTTCCATAGCTT